TGGGGCTCAATCCCATGACTCTGGGATAATGACCTGAGATGAGATCAAGAGTCAAGGCACTCAACTGACTGAGCCACCCAGCCTCCCCTTGATGTACATTTTTATTGAATCTCCACAGCAAGCAACTCTCAATTTGAAAATTTCAAAGGAAACTGAGACTGGGAAAAGTTAAGAAATTCACCAAGGACCATAAAGCCATCAAGTCATGTTGGGGCATCTCCAAAAGGGCTTTCAATAAATAAAGATAAGGAAAGACCAAAAAATATAGGTTCAGTTAAATTGCCTTATTTTGTGTTTAAAGGGATATGGTGTGGGAAGAACATGTTGTTTGTGTTTAGGTTATTAAAATTGATAGGTCTGCTCATAAATGTAAGCAAACCTCTTTGGGGAAAAAAAAAGTTGGGACAAATATTGGGAACATACAGCTCATCATTTTGAACAAGTACATTTGCTCATATTACATTTGTTCATTTGTATGCTGACAAAGTTTCATTGTGTGGCAAAGGTAAAGGAGTCAGGAAGGACTGACAGGGACCTGGGACCCCAGTGTGCTGGCACACTCCTGCCTCCATAAATAGTACATGATGGCAGTGATACCTCCTTGCATGGTATAATTCATTGTTTCAATAATTAATGTTGCCAGTGAATGTTTCTAAGAGTTCCAAAGGTAAATAATTTACTGTAATTACCAAGGAGGAGTGATATTACTTATTTGTTAGAACTTAAAAAAAAATGGATCCTTTGTGAAAAGTGACCTCAAGGCCCCAAATGTAGGATTGATACTGTGCTAAAAAATTAAAGTGAGTATCACCACCAACTTTATACTAATATTTGCCCTATTCTGAAGGTTAGTTGGTTGGAGTCTCCAGAAGTCAGTAAAATTGGTGAATAAGGCTGGACTAACACTAACACATAATCTTTGGTTAATCCATGTAGAATTTAGGAACTTTCTGAAGTGATGTGTTGCTTCTGAAGTGTTAGGACCTTGCTATTGTTGACTCTAATTCTATCCCAATTTGATTTCAGCGTTTTTAAAAAAAATCTTTGTTATTCACTGTAAGTTTTTAAATTTATGTTTTATTATTGAAGTTATACAAACAAATAAAAAGCCATCTCATTTTATAAGACGTACTCATTAGGAAAAAAGAAAAGAATTCACATGTATACCTTCAGCCTCCAATTTCTCCTCTCCAGACACAACTGCTTAGCGTACCTTTTGATAGCTCTTATCATGTGCTTTCGTGTGTCTAAAATGTATATGTGGCTTCTTGTTGGCTTTCACCCATTTGAGGAATTATTTATTCACTTCCCAAAATGGAAGATGAAGCTGTTACTTTAAATACCTCTTCTCTCCCACCATGCACACTTTCCATCCCCTTACTTTCCCCCAAACAGTTTTATTTTACTTTGGTTATGCCAGCATTTAGTGCTTCTATTATGCCTATGTAAATGTTTTCCACAGATGTGAAATGTATTGATTGAATTTTCTTTTTGGCACAATATTTTGCTTTCCCTGGAGTTTTTTGCATTTGCTTGGTGTTCTCTCTATATATCACTGGTCCAGTCCACAAGTTCCTCCCAGTTATGCCAATCTCCTCTCAATATGATCACATTCATTAGGTGTTCTATAAATTTCATCTCTCTGTGAGCTTTCTTAGTTGTCAGGTTCCTTGTAGTTCCACTGCATAGATGTCCTCCTGGGTCTTCCTTCACTGTCACCATGAAAATTCTCTGTGTTCTTATATTAGACCCTATATCTTTCCCCTTCTTGGTTGAATCCTTCACTTTGATGGAATACATCTTCCAATAGTTTCCTTACAGAGTTAATGAGAAATATATTTGGGGGGGGGGTATATTTCTGAAGATATCTTAATTCTATTTCCGTACCTTTTTTTGCCTGGTTTTAGAATTCTGGGTTGAATATCATTTCCTTTCAGGACGCTGAAGGAACTGCTCCATTGCCTTTAACTTCAGTTTTTCCTATTAAAAGACTGGTGGAAGTCTGCCATGTGTGATCACTTTTCCTCCCTAAATTTGTAGGCTCTTTCTTTGTCTCCAGATTCTAAAATTTCATGATGATGTGCTATAGTCGGTTTATATTCATAATGCTGGTCATTCAAGTGGATTGTTTTACTTTGGGAACTCAGGTCTTCTGCTTTGGGGAAGTTTCTTGAATTATTTCTTTGATTTCTTCTCTATTTCACTGTTTTTTTCTTTCTAAAACTTTTCTCTCTCTCTCTTTTTTTTTTTTTTTTGAAGAAAAGAAATGGGTTTGGAATTCCTGAAATAATCCTCTGCTTTCTTGTATGCTCTCCTATTTTCTACATTTGAAAATCTCCCCCTAACTTCTAGATATTTTTTCAACGTTTTTTTTTTATTTATTTTTGGGACAGAGAGAGACAGAGCATGAACGGGGGAGGGGCAGAGAGAGAGGGAGACACAGAATCGGAAACAGGCTCCAGGCTCCGAGCCATCAGCCCAGAGCCTGACGCGGGGCTCGAACTCACGGAGCGCGAGATCGTGACCTGGCTGAAGTCGGACGCTTAACCGACTGCGCCACCCAGGCGCCCCTCAACTTTAATGCTATCGTATTTGTTACTTTCTATGAGTTATTTTTTCTCTGAGTTTTTTGTTTGTTTGTTTTTAGTGTTTTATTGCTTTATAAGTATAAAAAGATCTCCTCTCTCTGGATATTAATGAAAAATTTTAAGTTTTCTTCTCACTGAAATGCCTCAGTTTCTTCTGATTTGCTTTTGTTCTGTTTGTTTATTTGTTTATCTTATTCCTCATATTATACACTTCACAACTGTCTAGTCACTCTTGGCTGTTTGCTCACTACTAAGCTCATGGGAAGCTCTCTGCACGGGAGCAGAAAGGCTTTTCATCCATGATCTACTGAAGTAATAAGCCAGAGACATTTCACTAGGAAATCCCAATTCCCACTGATTCCTAAGTCACTGGGAAATCCCAGAAAAGATTCCCATTTTCTGCCTGAGGCTCTGTCCCTATCTGTCTTGGAGACCAGTAAAGGAAGGTTGTTCTCTCCTCAAATACAGCTTCTGCCTTTTTCTCTTCAGAGAGTCCAATTGCACATGTTAAAACCTTTCGCTGGGTTCCACATGTCTCGTACTATTTTCTGTGTTTTCCATTCTGTTTTTAAGCCCTTTCTTTTGTACATTTTTCCATCTACACTTCCAATTATCTGACCCTGTTTTCTATTGTGCCTAGTCAAGAACTGGCATTGTATTTAGACGTGATCAAATGACCATTTGATTCTTTCTTATGTAATTCCAGTGCCTTGTTAACTTTTCCACCTTTTCATTTCTTTCCTCTGTTTTTTCCTTCATGTTTTTCAACATACTAATTAAAGCTGCTGTAAAGTTCTTATTTGCTTACTTCAAAATGTAGGATGACCTGGGAGTCTGTTTATGGTATCTGTTTTATTTTGTTTTTGTTCATGTGCTCTGGCCATGCTGGACATGATATATAAAAAGTTGTAGACAGGACACACCCGATGATGATGTAATTCTCCATAAAGTGTGCACCCTCCCTCTGCTAGACAAATAGGGTGGTAGCTGATCATTTCAATCCAGTCGAGGTTTTGCTGAAATGAGGCAAAATTGTTCGCCTCCCTGGTAAACTTGGACTACCTCTGCTTTGTCCCTGGCCCTTCAGGGTCCTTAAGTGACAATTTTGTGTGATCCTCTCCCCTGAGAAGTCCCAAACTTCTAAATCTTTTTTTCATGAAACTGCCAAGAAGCAACACTGTGCCTTTTAGTGATTTTCTGGTTAGGTTTCTAGCTTCCTGTTCTGCACAGTCCCAGAATTCAGCAAATGTTCTGCACGGAAATCTGTGGCACGTTTAAGGCCACCCAGATCTCCCTTGGTTTTTCTAGGCCCCAGTAGTGGCCCCTGCAGGTACAAAGCCCAAATTCTATCTGCACTGATAATTGACGAATGCATCCAAGTTAAACATGGCAACAAAAAGCCCACAGGGGTCTTCTAGCCCTTCCCCTCTCCGGAGGGCAGCTCCCCTTGTTCTCTGTGCCTTTTGTCTATGGCATTCAGAGCCCATCTGCATACTTACCAGGTGTGCTTGCAGCAGCAGTAGGCTTCCACTAGCTACTCTGCCCCACTTGGAAACAAAAGTCAGCAAGGTGGGTTTTTTTTTTTTTTTTTGAGACATGCGAAATAATTTTATAATTGTAAGATGAACTTGGAGATGTGTTCAAGTAGCTGAAATCATGGTTAGCGTTACTTCTGTGATATTTCTTTTGCCATGTCAGTTACTGAAGATGCTGTCCTAGAAGACTGAAATAAAACAGGGCACCTGGGTGGCTCAGTCAGTTAAGCATCCAACTCTTGATTTCAGCTCAGGTCATGATCTCTTGGTTCATGAGATTGAGCCCTGCATTGGGCTCTGCGCTGACAGCCTGAAGCTTGCTTGGAATTCTTTCTCTCCCTCTCTCTCTGCTCCTTCCCCCTGCAGGCACCCACTGTCTCTCTTTCTCTCAAAATAAATAAATAAACATGAAAAAAATGTGTTTCTTTTAAACTCATGCAGTGGTATGTATAGAAAAAAAGACTCAGAGGCACCTGGGTGGCTCAGTCAGTTAAGTGTCTGACCTCTTCTCAGGTAATGATCTCGCAGTTTGCGGGTTGGAGCCCCACATCGGGCTCTGTGCTAACACTCAGAGCCTGGAGACTGTTTCAGATTCTGTGTCTCCCTCTCTACCCCTCCCCCACTCGAGCTCGCTCTCGCGCTCTCTCTCTCTCTCTCAAAAATGAAGATTAAACATTTTTTTAAAAGTTAAAATAAAACAACTTATCAATAAACTTTGTTTTCTATTCTTGAAACTTCAATGTAGACCTATAGAGGAGTAAGTACAAATTTATTTTGACTATCTGAACTTACAGAGACATACAGGTATATTTTGTAGGTACAGAGAAACCAGTGTCTTATGTGAGTTATTGATGCCTTATATCATTTTATTTTGCAGCATCTAACATTTACAAGAGAATTTGATTCAGATTCTCTTAGACATTATAGCTGGGCTGCAGATACCTTGGACAATGTCAATCTTGTCTCAAGTCCTGTTCATTCTGGGTAAGTAATCTAAAAGTCACTTTCCTTTATCCCATTAAATGAACATTACATTTGTTATTTGTATTTATAAATTCATATTGACAAGCTTTATATGTATGAAATATTGTTCTTCTAAAAGACTTCATTAGTGAGTATATGTCATATATATTTGTAAATCATTTGTAAATGTTCTTTTCTGAGCAAATTGCTATACCTGTTTTTTGTTGAAAAAAAAACACTGTTGGAAAGGAAAATAATTAAAGTATTGGTAAATCTAGTCATTTCCCTTAATTTTACTTTATTCAGATAAAGTTTTTATTTCTGAGTGTCTGATTTTCCTTTCTAATGGAAAGTTATATATGGAGGTATTTCTGTTCATCCCTTGCTGACTGCTCTTGTGCTTTGCTTCACATGATGAAACACCTGAAATCTTCAGACCAGTTTGGTACCTCCTGCACTCCTGAAATAAAATTATGATTAAGTCTTATTAAATTACAAGAAAAGAAATTAATTTTTAAAAGAAAAGAAGTGAATGTACCAATGTGTGTACCCCAGAAATGCTGTGGTAAAAACCACGTTGAACAGGCTCCTTACCGCTGCCCCACTGGTAGCAGAATTAGAGGTGGGCGGTTTACAAGGTAGCCTGCTCTAACTACTGAATTGATAATCAGTGCATATTTACATATGGGATTCTTCACCTGTCAGTAATTAAAACTTGGGATAGTTGATGCCACACAAATGAAATAGAAATCATTGAGATGACGAAAATTTCAAGGTATTTTCACCTCTAAATTTGGCATTTAGGCCATAAATTAGTTGTGATCCAGGACAAGGACAGAGTAATTTGGAATTAAATTAGTTAACAGTAATTAACATTTCTGAAATGCTATATGTGTTATATGAATTATTTTCTGCTGCTTTTAATTAAAATAAATTGTAATAGCTTTACCTTTTTATGTGCCTGGCATTGTGTTAAATGTTTTACATGTATTATCTTACTTAATATTTTTTTGAACCTTAAAATGACACTGTGAGATAAGTTTTACCACTATCCCCATTTTGCAGATGAAAAGTCAGACTTAGAGTAATGCTGCAGGTTGAAGTATCCTACAGAATTGTGGCTTATAGCACAAATAATTGCAATATCATTCAAATGGAAGTAATTGACGTGAAAGTACTTTGTAAACTATAAACTACACATACATATTCTTTGACTAATTAACATTACATCTCTTTAACTCAATTACAAAATACTTTAATTATGGAGTAATAATTTTTAATTGCTTAAAATAGTTACATCATTGATGTTAGATGTTTATGGGTCTCAACTTAGAAAACCAAAAAACAGTCAGTTGGGAAGGAAACTGACATACTTAGGATACATTCAGTGAGCCACACGTTGAAGAGGTTCTTTGTATCAAGCTTGGTGAATGCCCACCATGTTACAAAGACCTAGAGCCAGCGTTTTCTCTACATAGGAAAGAAGTGTGTCATTTAGGAAACTTTCGTGCTTTGCTTTTGTGCTTTGCTTCAAATGATAGTTGGAACTTCAAATGAGAAATTGAGGGATCATAGAATAATAAGATCAGAGGTGAACTTTCCTGTACATTGGAGATGATGAAATATTTGACTATGCAAATTCTCTCTCCTTCCTCTTGAATTTATTGAAGGCAATAGACATGTCCAGGAAAGCAAAAGTAATGGCAGCTGGCGTGGGCTTATTTGAAAAGGAAAATATAGACTTGGTATACACTTGGAAATGGTTCACTAGTGCTGTCAGGTCTTAGGGAGTAGCTTCTATAGCCACTGAAGGCGAATGTTTTTCCAGGTTGTCCCACAAATGTCAAATGCCTTGGTTTCATTTTCTGACAGTTTTTATTTTTCCTTTGCTTATCATTGACATTTTCTGTTGCTTGCTTCTAATTATCTTCCATTAATTTCTCCCATTTGCTTTCTAAATTATTTTGCAGCTATTCTTCTCCACTTCCTCAGTATGATTCAAGGTGATAACTGTGTCCTTTATGTGAACCATCCTTTTTTGTATTTTTAATTTATGTGACGTTTTCCCACAGTTAGATGTGTCAGTGTCTGTAGTGTATCAGCTTTTGTCATCCTGCTGTTCTTACAACTAGAAACATTCATGTGTTAGTTTTAGGATTATTTGTAGAATTACTGCTTTAGTTTAAGTATTAATAAGATACAAAAGATATGATTAAACATCACCTTTTGATTTGTTTCCATGAGTTGTATTGCATGAAATTTTATTTTGCATAGAATATGTAAAGAATGAGTTTGGAAAACAATTCATGATGTTATTGAATAACAGGACCTTTACCCTGCTTAATATTTATTCTCTCCTTTCCTCAGTCTATTGGCTCTATAAAGTTGAAAACCTTAGAACAATAAATTACTGCTAATGAGTACCAACTAGGCACTGGGTGCTACGCAGAATCCAGAGAAAGAGCTTCTTCTAATTTGTCGTTAAAATCTTCTAAGACATGTTTTGTTTTGTTTTTTTCCATTTGTGTCTGATATTCTTTGTAGTTTGGATATTTTTATATTGACACTGATGACCTTCTTAAACTACCCTCATATTGCTCACCTACAAGTGTTTTATATATATCTTTTTCATATAGATATATTTTTAGTGTTAGTAACCGCATCTGACCTAGGCGGTTCCAAAGCACCTCTAACAAAATAGTTTTTGTTCAATGGGTCATTCAGTAAACATGTATTATGTGCTTACTGTATTTAGGAACTGTGCTCAGCCCTGCAGGTCAAGCAGCAAACAAGGCAGGTCTGATCCAAATTACTATCTATATTATTGAGATCAGCTCTTTGTTGCCAAGGCAAACACTGCCCTCCAAGTGTAAACACTCTGTGTTTATATGTGCTAATACAACCACATTTTCAAACCCAGAGTTGACCTCGAATCATTTTTAATTCATTCTGTTGCTAGTATTCCCAATCACAAGTTGATTTTCACTACTGAATGCTGGGAAAGATAAGATTTTGTCTTAGGCTTCTTTATAAATTTGCCCTATTATCTTCATTACTGAGTAAAGATAGTTATTAAATATGTGTGTGTCCAAGACAAGACAATGTAGGCTCCCCAGAGCAGTTTCAAGTGAGCCTTGTCATTTAGCACCCGAGGCAATTCATGTGGACACTTGCACAAGTAGATAAGTGTCTGTCTTTGACGTGAAAGGTGTGTATTGTGTTTTGTTTTAGAGGGGTTAGTCTCTTCCCCTCTTACTTTGAACATTACAGGGGTTCCAACCTCTCAAAGTAGATCTAATGTTACACACACACACACACAAAAACATAACCCAGAGGAAAATGGCTAAATCCAAAATAAGCAGAAGGGTATGAAGTTGATTCTACCTCACTGATGACCAGAATCGGTCCTGGACATCTGATTGCCTGGGAAATGATCACCATGCTATTGCCTTTTTCCATGGGGATGGCAGGTCGGTTGCTTTGAGGAAGAGGTTACTCTTCCAAGATCAAGTCCCCAGTTAGCACCTCCATGCAAGTTCCTAAAATCTATTTGCAAGATGTTAGAACTCTATTTAGATGAACTACATTTTAGTGGAAGATTTTTGATGGATGGGATTTTCCACCACCACCCCCAATACTATAGGTATTCAAACAATTTTCTCATTATCAACATTTATTGCTGTTGCAGTAATAAGCATATTTTCACATGTGGAAGTTGGAATGCACAGGGGCATAGTGTTCTCCTGTCTGACCTCCACTCTTCCATGAGTCAGATTCACTGGTTTATGTTACCAGAGTGCTTTATGACACCAGAGATTTGGGGACGACTCTTCATGAGCATGTGAAAGGAATCGAGAATTGCAATATGCTATTACCCAGATGAGATACTATAAGTTTCTCTATATTTTCATATCTACAATGCATACATTGGCCTATCTACTAAAGGCCAATGACAGAATTATAATATATAATTTAGAGACATCTTCTAAAAAGTCTAGGTTACTAGTTTTGTATGGCTGTGTAAATACTCAAGTATAGGTTATATTCAACAGTTTTAAAGTCAAATTTATGCTGCAAGGATTAAATCCCTTTCCATCAAAATTGCCTTGGCAGAACTAGGCATCTGCTTTTGTTCTTATATTCTGCTTTGTGATAGTGCAAATTAGACTGGTATGATTAAATACGTACATATTTATTTTAGGAGTTGTACATGTTAAGACATACCGTGGAGTTTCATCTGACTTGTCAGGGAGTGAGAGTCCATAGTGAGCATATGGCTAAAACCACTTATAGTGGTTAAAATGACCTTTGAATACGGCATAAGCCATCTGCAGAGGCCACATATGGCAGCCTGGGTTTGGGTTTTTAAATGCACAACAGTTTTTGTTACAGCTTTGAACCATTCACTGTTCCTCAATTGGAGCATCTGACAAAGTGGTTGGCTTCTACTAGGAGGCCACGTCCCACCAATAATAAGTTGTCATGTTTCCCTTTTTGCCCAATTCACAAGTTAAATGCATGTTTGGTGTGACTCCACTGTATTTACTTCCAGTTTATTTTTAAAGAGAGGAAATGATAGCCACATTGTCTGTCGTTTTAAACCTTAACATTTAATTTCAAAACCTGCTGTGAAGATGGTTTATATGTATCCTTGATTTGGCCTCTGGTCTTTCCCTACAGGTTTCTGGTTAGCTTTATGGTGGATGCAAGGGGAGGCTCCATGAGAGGGAGCCGTCACCACGGGATGAGAATCATCATCCCCCCGCGCAAGTGTACGGCCCCCACCCGAATCACCTGCCGATTGGTAAAGAGACATAAACTGGCCAACCCACCCCCCATGGTGGAAGGAGAGGGATTAGCCAGTAGGCTGGTAGAAATGGGTCCTGCAGGGGCACAATTTTTAGGGTAAGTGATTTTGTCAATTTTTATCTTGGCCCTTGTATGATATATTTGATTTTCTTTGCCCTTTTTAACTCAAGTAGTTAACTATTAAGACGGCATAGTCGGACCATTTTGATTGAGTACACCTCTCGTGTAGCGTCAAAGGTCACAAAGCTGTGTAATTCTGTGAAAAGCGAGTAGGCTGATACTTCCTTAACTCAGCTTGCTGGTCAAAGCTTTTACTAACCAAGAAGCATGTTCTCTGCTCAGTGAGTGCACGGAACCCCAGCAGCCCCTGTAGAAGTCAAGGCACCATTCTTAAGAAAAAATACAGATGTTGGAATTATATGAATAACTGGCTACTATGGGTACATGCCTTTTTAAGAGATAATTTGTAGGGACATAATCCATTGTGATAATGATATTTTACAAAAAGGAAAAATAAACTCTTTTCCTGAGGTGGCACTTGGGTGCAAATCAGGCAGGCTCTGTCGTGACGGACAGTTTGTTCACAATTTCCCCTTCTTGTTTCTCTTCCTGCTGCATGGATGTTATTCAGTAAACTGCATCTTCCTACCAATCCTCCCCCTGTAAATGAGGGTGAGAGTTTGGTTAGCCGAATCCTGCAGCTTGGGCCTCAAGGAACAAAATTTATTGGGTAGGATCTTTATAGACAAGATTCAGAATGTCTACAATTCTTTCTCCATTTTCAATTTTTTTCTGTCACACCCATGGTCTTATTCTTGTCTTAAGTTTCTTTTTATTTTTTCAGTTTTTAATGCTTTCAGTTGATGTGTGTCACTGAAAGAAACAAAAATCATAGTGGCTTGACTTAATGTAGCATCGCTACCTATCTTGTGCTTCTCCGGCATGTGGAATTTCCTGCAAGCATTCTGCTTCGTAACTTTGTGCTTTTGTAAACCTTTCTTTAATTTGAAATGTTTCAACTGAATATGGTAGTTTTTAAGACAGACTGACAATCTAATTTTAACCCAGTGTAAGAGAAAGTATTTGCAGGCTTTGAATCAACATTTGCTGTAAATGATATATATGTGTGTGAATATATATATGTGTATGTATATATATATATATATATATATATATATATATATATATGCGTGTGTGTGTGTGTGTGTGTGTGTGTGTGTGTCTAGAGTTACATTTTCTTCAAAGTACATACTTATGCATACTAAGTAATCTTCATGGTCTTTGAGAAAGAAAAGTCCTCAATAAGTAAACTGATTTTGATAAATGTTGGGGCTAGAAGATATTTAAAGCAAGCCAAATAGGCAGCAGATAGAATGTTCTACTACAGTTATTAAATCGTCTTGTTTTGTTTTGTTGAAGCCGAAATGTGTTGGTATCTGTTGTTTGTTTGCTTGTCTGTCTGTTTGGGGGATTTGCCTTGGCAGTCTGCATGAAGAAACCTGTTATGAAAACTTATGCTTGGCTTTCACCTTGGTCAGAGGCCCTGGTTCATACCTTCTCTCCAGTGTTGTTCAATGTCCTACACAAAGCCACATTCCTCAAATATTTACAGAGACAGTATCTGATACATTAACCTGCAAAGATTGTATCTAGTTCTCAAAAAAAACAGAAGTCAAATCAGATGTGGTTAAAAACTATGGTAAATATCTTAACTCTTGAAATTATTAACACTCTTAGGAGTAGTTGATTTTGTTTTTATCTACCAAAAAATAAAGGCATTATTAAAAAATGTTGAAATCCTTAATTTGAATTAATTCTAATTATTTTGTCAAAAGTAAAATGATCATATTTATCATCCTATTTTAAGAGAATGCTTTTGTGATAAATGAAATGTTCATACATATTCATGTTATTGGATCATTACAACTAGCCCTTTTTATGCTCTTACCTATCTGAACCCGTATCTTCTGTTGTGACATGCACATAAACGTGTAGGGTAAGAGGTGAGGTTACATACAACCTCTGTAGGAGAATAATGATACTGTCTACTAAATGTCATAAAATAAAGCTGCACAATCCAACTACATAAACTGTGTGTGATTGTGGTCTGCTTACTTCCATTCATCCTTTTTAGCCATTTATCCTATTTTAAAATTTAACAAAATGATTCCTGTGCTTGATTGGCTGTCTTCAATTTGCAGCCATTCTTATACATTCTTCTGCAAAAGGACACTGTCAAAATTTAATATATCAATAGATTACAATTTCAAACCAGCAAGTGCTTTTTCAGAAAGTTTAAATATTTCTGTGCAGGTTATTATAGTGTTAGGAAATTAAGCTGCCCACGACCATCTCACAAATTAAACATCAGAGAAAACTGCCTTAACCATACAGGCCATTAAAAGTCATGGAAAGTCACTGTTGGAGGGAGTGAATTGTTATGTCGACTGTTTGCTTGCGAAGGGACAAACACCTGTGATCTTTCAAAATAGGAAATCTATAGAATTTCTTTTTCAAAGAAATGACTGTGTCCTTTTAAATCATTAGCTTTTTGTATAATATGATATACCTATTGTGTTTTTAAAAATGGACCAACTTCCTTATGGTCTGTTTTAATCTTTCAATTCCTTGATTCAAAATTCCTGTTTATATGTGCTGAATATTTTCTCCCATATTAAATCAAATGCCTAACATATGATAGGCCCTTATGAATTGTTTGTGAATGAATGAATGATGGCATGTTATCAGGCTTCTGATATATTATTTATTAGCAAATGATTCTGCAGCTTTGAAATCATTCCCAACCCTAGTGGCACCTCTGATTTTCAAATGAATACTGTTAATGAAACTTTTTTTTAAGTATGATACTATAAACATATTTCATTTTGATACCAAAATAATGTGGATTTCTTTTCCAGCCCTGTCATAGTGGAAATCCCTCACTTTGGGTCCATGAGAGGAAAGGAGAGAGAACTCATTGTTCTTCGAAGTGAAAATGGTGAAACATGGAAGGAGCATCAGTTTGACAGTAAAAATGAAGATTTAACCGAATTACTCAATGGCATGGATGAAGGTAATGGTGACAAGTCCTGGTTTCTGTCAATGTCTGCAGGTAGAAATCAAAGGCATGACTACACCAGAGTTAACTGCACCTGAACCTCACATGTCTGCATCCTGAGCTTGGGGTCTGGTTCCTCAGCATTTAGTGCTCTTATCTGTATCCAAGGCATGAAGTTCCAGTCAATCCAACAGCCTTTTGTTTTCATAACACTAATGTACAAATACCACTTGATGATTCTTTCCATCTTCAATGAGATATATTAATCTTTCCAAAACCTGAGAAAGTTTTCTAAATGAAAAATGTGTCAGGAGGAGGGGAAATAATAGTGAAAGGTATGCAAAGCATGCAGGACATTTTTAAGAAAATATGTTCACATTTTACTTTCGGAGTTATTATTTCTGGATCCTTTCTTGTGTCTCCATCTTCTCCCCGATTATGTCAACATTCTTCGTGAATTTTTAACTTCTGTTGGGCAATAATAAGTTGCAAAACTAATTATTGGAGTCTGTGTCGTAGTCTGTGACCTAGTAGGGCACATAGCCGAGTGTGTCACTTCCCATACACACCTTCTTCAGCTCTCTGACCCTTAGAACAAAGCAGGTTTTCTTAGTAGACATTGGGAATGGACTTGTTTTGAGAGTAGGTACTTGATGCAGACTTTTCCTTTAAAGGGGTGAAAAACAATTAGAGGCCAAATGCATCACAGAATGACTCTAATTTTTTTAAGTTTGTTTGTTTATTTATTTATTTATTTAGAGCAAGCTAGCGGGAGAGAGGGGGAGAGAGAGAGAGAATCCCAAGCAAGCTCTGCACTGTCAGTGAAGAACCTGATGTGGGTCTCAAACTCATGAACTGTGAAATCATGACCTGAGCCAGTCAGATGCTAGACCGACTGAGCCTGACTAATCTTTATACTGACTCCCTAATCACTACAAATTCAGCAATTGTTTTAAAGAATAGCTTTATTGGAGATGTAGTTCACCTGCCATAAAATTCGCTGTCCTAGCATTTAATTCACTGGCTTTTGGAATGCACCCAGCACAGTCTTCTGGTTTCAGAGTGACGACAAAGGTGCTAGAACGACTCGGGTGTTTGAGGGATGACCATGGTCAAGTTCTTTGGTCCCTGTGAGCCTCTTTGACTTCTGCAAAATGGAGATACCTTCCTTACTTCATAGGGCTGTTACTGGGAAAAAATAATTCTGTGAAGCACTTATGAAATACAGCCTTTGTCACATAGTAAGTGCTCAATAAATATCAGCTGTTGTCACTATTCATTCTATAGAAAAAAATCGTCCTATCAAAGGTTCTGTAAAAGACACAGTTCATCACTGCCAACCAAGAATTTAAAGATGTTTTTACAGCAGGGTAGGAGGAAATTAGTAATTGTTGAGTTTCTAGCATTTGTGAGAGAGTGATAAATTCCTTTCTGTATGAAAATTTAAAAAAAAGTATAGTACTATAAAGTAGGTAGTTTTAATCACACTTTTAAAAAATTTTTCTTTGAACATTTATTTACTGTTTATTATTTTTTTATTTTTGTAATGTGTATTTTTGAGAGAGAGAGAGAGTCAGAGTGTGAGCGGGAGAGGGGCAGAGAGAGAGGGAGACACAAAATCTGAAGTAGGCTCCAGGCTCTGAGCTGTCAGCACAGAGCCCAACACAGGGCTCAAACCCATGAACCCTGAGATCATGGTCTGAACTGAAGTCAGACACTTAACCAACTGAGCCACCCATGTACCCCTTTAATCACCCTTTATAGATGAGGGAGCAGAAGTTCAGACAAGTCAAGTCACTTACCTAATATTACCCAAACTAAGTAGCAGCGCTGGGGTTAGAAATCTGGTTCTATCTTGTTTTCAAAGATTTAACCATATCCCACTTATTTTAGAAATGTGTGCCCTGTGGAGAAGAAAATAAATGTAAACAGGAAAATTCCTACCAACCTCTAGATTTAAGGTTCAGGAGAATAATCATCTTAAATGAGCATATATTAAATGTTTACATATGATACTGATATTTATATCATATATCAGCTATAAATTCAAATAATCTCTGATAGGAACATGCAGTGGTAATTATGATTTCTAATTTTTATTACCTAGTCATTCTCTTCTAAGGAAATTGATAAGGAAACACAATTAAAAATTTTAAAAAGAATACATCTTAAGAGAATGAATTGAATTAGCATTTTGAAAATAGTAAAAGAATATAGATGATTCAGGATTCAAAAATGGAGAGAATAAGAAAAATGGGTTATCCAGAGAGGGTGGTTATTTTAAGGAAAATAAAGTATGTAAATATTTTCATGTATCTAGTATTTCTTAAATGCCAATGTAGATTATTAGTTTGTAATGTGTAGCGTCTCCTACACAAGGAGTTTGTTTCTTTTCTTTCTCTCTTTGTCTTTCTTTCTTTCTTTCTTTCTTTTTAGATACCTACCTTGATACTGTAACCTCTTGAAGGCAGGGTACATGTCTTAATCACCTTTGAACCCCCAGTGTCAGGCACAATGCTGATTTAGGTTTTCCCCCCTTGCTGGTAAGGGGCAGAAGGAGGAACTTCTCAAAATATGTAGCTAGCTGGAGGAAAAGTTCTCATTGGTCTATTTCTTCTACCCCAAATGTCATTAATGTTAATCTACAGGAGAAGAAAATTAAAGGGGAGCATTTACTTTGAGGAAATTTCTGGGAAATTAACATTATTCTAGAAAGAATACTGACCATTCTAAAACAGTACTGCCTAGTAGGTGATGATTTATACGATGATGGAAATACTCTATACTTGGGCTGTCCAAGAGTAATCACTAGTCACATGTGACTCCGGAGTACTTGAAATATGACTCGTACAGTTGAGGAAGGTAATATTTAATTTTCTTTAATTAATTTCAGATAGCCACATGTGGCCACTCGCTACCTCATTGGACATTGTAGTTCTAGCAAAAACACTGAATATTCAAATATAGTCTCCTTCATTTTTGAGTATAGATTATAATATGTCCATCCTACCAGGCACAGGTAGAATTTTTGAAAAAAAAATAGTAGATTCTTTTTTTTTAAGTTTATTTATTTATTTTGAGAGAGAGAAAGAGACAGCAGGGGAGGCGCAGAGAGAGAGGATCCCAAGGAGGCCCTGACACAGGGCTCGAAATCATGAACTGTGAGGTCATGACTTGAGCTGAACCCAAGAGTCAGACACTTAACTGACTGAGCCACCAGTTTTTGGGGCACCCGCAATTTTTTTTCAATTTTTAAGGATTATTTATGGAATGGATTTCCATGGTTTCATGCTGATTATCTTCATTTTGTTTTTATTAAACCAGTTTTAAATTGGAATTAGTCATATCTTTGCTTAGAAATTATGCCCCTCGAGCTTCCATACTCAGGACATATGTTAAGAAATGATGATATTAGCCCTCTGTCCTGGATTCTGTGTGTTATCTTGGAAATAGTAGATAGAGTTTCTTTGTTACATTTTTAAAGACCAGTTAAACTTTGGTTCTATTTTAGGCAATTAAAAGAAAACGTAAATACTTCTAGGCTTAAAGAATCTAGCACTGGAGGTACTTCAGCAAAAATAAGGACTAAATTCTCCAGGCACAGTGGTTTTCTTCATGGATTAAGTTTTAAAGTAACAATAATGAAGGAAGTACTATACATATTTTATAGCTGAAACTCAATCAGATTTCATACCAAGCTTAAGCCCCACTTATCACCACTCTTCTCTAGTACCCAAAGACATTTCATTCATACTGGAACATCCCCCTTCTAAAAACAGACAAAAATCAAAATCATCCTATCTCTTAAAAAAAAATCCAACACTTCTATTTCCCTAAGGTCCAGCTATTCAAAGTTCTCATAGGAAAAGAAGCATGAGTGCAGAACAGAAGTTTTCATGTTGTGTTCTACCTTCTTCCCTCTGCCCCAGCCCCCCTTTGTTTATTCCTGGATAGTTGTTAATGAGCATCATAACAATAGTACAGAAAATAAACCAGTGACTAGATCACTCAAGACTTCCTTAAAGAAAAAGAAAAAAGCATCCTGTTGTTTTAACTTATTAATTTCCCCAATTTATAACAATAAGCCTTATCTGTCATCCATGGCAAGTGACTCTTGGTATTACATGTTTTATTATAAATGTCTCCTTTTTTACCCTCTTTTCCATAAATAAATTCTGCTCTGTAACTAATCTATATGCTATTTTTATAACCAGTCCTGTTGCACCTTATTCTCTGAAAAATCTTAAAACCCAAATGTTAAAAATCATCTTAGGCAATATTTTGATAACTGACTTTTACTATACCATGCAATTGTAAAGATTAGATATGGTTCTGTAATATTTCAAAACTTGCAAAGCCTTTCCAAGTGCACAAATGGAGTAGTTAGAATAGCTCCAAAGAAAGACAAGTGTAAGGAGGAGGATAATTTTCCTAGTGTAATATGGTGGTTAGGATCAGGATCTGTGGACGTCACATAGACCACAATTCCCATGCTGACTTCCTAGCTGTGTTATCCTAACCAAGCACTCAATCTTTCTAAAATTTCATTTAAATCTGTAAAGTGAGGATACCTCATAGAGAGCTAAGGGGGAACTGACGAGCTAATATATATAAAGTTCTTAATCCAAGGTCTGATGCATAAGAACCACTCAATCAATGTTAGTATTTGTCACGGCTGCTGTGTACAGTTGTGCAGGAGAGCAAGTAGGAACTGAAATCTTGCCTCTTCCCCTTGCCAAGACATCTGCTCCGACACTGGCCTGCAGGACAAAGAGGCAATCTTAACTAATGTTCCCAAGCCATTTACCTGCAGGGCGGTGTCTGTCCTAAGTGGCACCCTTTTCCAAATTGCACGTGGCTAATTGAAGCCCTGGTCAGGGTTGATGAAGGTGACATTCTCTCCATCACCACTACATAGTCAGGCAATGGTAGGAAAATAGATCTAGATATAGACTTCTAAAGTCCAGGCTTCTGACCCCAAATTTGGTTGTTTTTCTATAATACCCCTTTGCCTT